TTTTTTTTTCTTTTAAATTCTCTTCTTTCTTTTTTCAACCAACTTCTTATCAATTCCTTGTATAAAATCTTTTATAATTTTCAGGTTTTCAGTCATATTCCATCCCTTCATCGTATTTACCCTTATTCTTGTACATATATAAGTTTTTCTTTCTTTAAAATGTTGGGAGGCACTTTCTTCTAGCAGACCAAAATATGCCCAAAATTTAGAGTGTGGCACTGATCTATGTACCAGCCTGATTATATTTGATCATATTCTGTTTTTTGTTTGTTTATTTGTTTGTTTTTATCTTTTTCTTTTTTTTCTCTCTCTTTTTTCTTGCTTTCCCTTTCTTTTCCCCTGGTTTCAGGTCTCTTCTGATTTATTTAGTGTATATTTTTCTGGGGTCATTGTTACCCTGTTAGCATTTTGTTCTCTCGTTTATCTGTTGTCCTCTGGACAAAATGACAAGATGGAAAAAATCACCTCAAAAAAAGAACAAGAGGCACTACCGACTGCCAGGGACCTAATCAATACAGACATTAGTAAGATGTTGGAACTAGAGTTCAGAATGACGATTTTAAAGATACTAACTGGGCTTGAAAAAAGCATGGAAGATACTAGAGAAACCCTTTCTGGAGAAATAAAAGAACTAAAATCTAACCAATTCGAAATCAAAAAGGCTATTAATGAGGTGTAATAAAAAAATGGAGGCTCTAACTGCTAGGATAAATGAGGCAGAAGAGAGAATTAGTGATACAGAAGACCAAATGATTAAAATAAAGAAGCTGAGAAAAAGAGAGATAAACAACTACTGGATCACTAGGGCAGAATTCCAGAGAGAAGTGATACCATAAGATGAAACAATATTAGAATAATTGGGATCCCAGAAGAAGGAGAGAGGGGGGCAGAAGGTATATTTGAGCAAATTATAGCAGAGAATTTCCCTAATTTGGGGAAGGAAACAGGCATCAAAATCCAGGAGGCACAGAGAACACCCCCTCAAAATCAATAAAAATAGGTCAACACCCCCAACATCTAATAGTAAAACTTACGAGTTTCAGAGACAAAGAGAAAATCCTGAAAGCAGCCTGGGACAAGAGATCTGTAACCTACAATGGTAGAAGCATTAGATTGGCAAAAGACCTATCCGCAGAGACCTGGCAGGCCAGAAAGGACTGGCCTGAGGAGTGGGTATG